AAAAAAAAAAAAAGAAAGAAAACAATCACACCAGGATCCCCAAATCCTAGGATAGTGGGGTGTGATTTGTCAGATCTAGTGGAGGCTGTTCACTTAGCCGGGGTTGCTGCCACCTTTGATCTGTCAGGTATCGTAGTAGATTTAGATCCTGAGTTACATATTAAAAACTCTCAAATTTTTAATCCAGTCACAAACTAGCAGGATTTCCCTATAATCCTGTGCCATTGGAAAAAACTTGTGCTGTTCTTTGGATCTCAGTAAACTAAGTTTCTTAAATTAAGTTAGAAAGAATATAATGAAATAAATAAGAATTTATTGGTTGAATATAGTTTATTTCTTAAATTTTAAAAATTTTAGGAGAAAGAAAAATTTACAACTGAAACATTTGTGAACCAGAACTTCTCAATAAGATAATCTATTAGGTAGAAGGTGTTTGTTGTTGTCATAAAGGACTTTCTGAAGACCCTGGCCTAGAGCAAGTTGCCATCTACTTAGAAAGTTATTTTCTTTTAGTGTTTCAGCTCAATAAATATTTGTGTGCCTTTTACTTGCTAAGCTCTGTGCTAAACACTGGAGATACATCTATAAATAAAAAATACTTCTGCTGGGCGTTGTGGTGGGCACCTGTAGTCCCAGCTACTCAGGAGGCTAAGGCAAGGGGATCAGTTAAGCCCAAGAGTTTGACATTGCTGTGAGCTATGACACCGTGGCACTCTACCAAGGGCAACAAAGTGAGACTCTGTCTTAACAACAAAAGAATACTTCCTTTTCTTGGCAAATTTACTCCAAAAAGGCTAAATAGTCTTTACCTGTTACTTTTTGCTTTGGTTACTAAGACTTGGGAAGTTTTTGAAATTGGATGGTCTGACTGGAAGAAGTCAGGCTATAAAACGGTATTCCCATCATAGAGTTAAAAGAGGAGCTTTCACAGAATCTTCATTTATAAGATTAATTGCATATAAACACACGTAATATGTAAAAGTAAATGTAAGTACATATTGTGCTGTCTGCCGCTGTGAATCTGTTATTTGTCTGTACTCCATTCTTAATTCTTACAGGGTAAAGTGCCAGAGTTGGGGAAAGCCTCTGGAAAGATGGGAAAGAGGAGGTAGCCAGCCTCATTGTTATATAGCTGAGGTATTAGGCAGCAGAATGCTATTCTAAAAGAGAAAAATGATTATAGGAGCCTGACAGAACAAGTTTGTTTAATGTTTAAAGCTTTTGTCTGGAAATATCTTTCAGGAGTATCCTTGGATTCTGAGTGCCTCAGATGATCAGACCATCCGAGTATGGAACTGGCAGTCTAGAACCTGTGTCTGGTAAAGTAGGAAGCAGAGGGCTGAAAAGAATCTTAATTTGTAGTTTTTCATAATCAGCTTCTCTTCAGAACAATCATCTCCTTTCTCAAGTGAAACATGTCTGCTGACTAATTACTGATTGTATTCATTTTATGTGTATAAAATGCTTCTAAGTACAAAATGATAAATATAGAGTCAGTCTTGCCAGGCGCAGTGGATCACACCTGTAATCCTAGAACTCTGGGAGGCTGAGTCAGGTGGATTGCATGAGGCTACGAGTTTGAGATCAGCCTGAGCAACAGCGAGACCCAGTTTCTAAAAATAGCTGGACATTGTGGCTGGTGCCTGTAGTCCCAGCTGCTTGGGAGGCTAAGGCAAGAGAATCACTTGAGGGTGGCGCCTGTGGCTCAGTAGGTAGGGCACCAGCCCCATAGACCGAGGGTGGTGGGTTTGAACCTAGCCCCCAGCCCCCGGCCAAACTGCAACAAAAAAAATAGCCAGGTGTGGCGGGTACCCATGGTCCCAGCAGTTTGGGAGGCTGAGGCAAGAGAGTCGCCTAAGCCCAGGAGTTGGAGGTTGCTGTGAGCTGTGTGATGCCACGGCACTCTACTGAGGGCAATAAAGTGAGACTCTGTCTCTATAGAAAAAAGAAAAAGGCAATAATCACTTGAGCCCAAGAATTTGAGGTTACTGTGAGCTGTGGTACTCTACCAAGGGCAACAAAATGAGACTCTGTCTCAAAAAAAAAAGTCAATCTTGTTAATAATGTATGAATTTGGATCTTCTGATAATTTCTTACTAGAGAAAAAAGGTCATATTACTAACCTTTTAGAGTATGAACTTTTAGCTGGTTTTCACTCCCTTTCCCATAAAACCTGAGTCAAAGTCTAGACCTCTGTCCTACTTTGTATTTATGGCTGCAGCTCTATATAGAACTTTCCATGAAGAGGTAAGGACAGTTTAAAATTATGTATGTCCTTTAAGATGCAGTTCCTGGGCAGTGCCCATAGCTCAGTGGGTAGGGTGCCAGCCACATACACCAAGGCTGGCTGGTTCAACCTTGCCCTGGACCTGCTAAAACAAGGACAACTGAGGGCTCAGTGCCTATAGCACAGTGGTTATGGTGCCAGCCACATACACCGAAGTTGGCAGGTTTGAACCCAGCCCGGGCCAGCTAAACAACAATAACAACTGCAACAAAAAATAGCCTGGTATTGTGGTGGGCACCTATCATCCCCCACCCCCCAAAAGATTCAGTTCCTACTAAAATCTAATAGATAATTCCTAGTTTGAATCAGAAAGATTCTATTTTGATATTTTAATATTTCTTCAATCTGAGAGAAGAGCTGTGCAATCTCACTTCTCCTGAAATTAGTAATATTTAAATACTAAAGCATTAGAGTCAAGAAGAGAGCTATTGTTAAAACAATTGACCTTGCTTAATATTCTTATTCAGAATTATTAGGATGACCTGTTTTTCTCTCCATAAAAATATAACATCTGTTAAATATGGGAAAAGGTATTTAGTTTAAGAATTTATTGATTCCCACCTCTAATTTGTTGTTTATCTTTTTTTGTTTCTTACAGTGTGTTAACAGGGCACAACCATTATGTAATGTGTGCTCAGTTTCACCCCTCAGAAGACTTGGTTGTATCAGCCAGCCTGGATCAGACTGTGCGCGTTTGGGATATTTCTGGTGAGCTGCCCAAGTTCAGGGGACAACCTGGTCATCTCTGGTGCAAAACTGCAATTGCTTAAAATAGTGAGGATAGTTGACTTAGAAAAGGACGATTTAAAATATTTCATTCCCTTGTAATAGCATCTTTATTTCTGAGGGTAGTGAATCTGTTTTGATGATTCTTCATATTGAAGGTATTCTGTAAAAGTGGTTACTCTAGAAAATTCATTTGATTTGAAGAAATGTTAACTTTAAATTAGATCAGTTTTTAGTTAAAATCTATATACCATCAGGGTATTTGATTAATAATCAAGCTTTCTGTTAAAATAAGAAAAATATCAAGCCTCGGCTCGGCACCTATAGCACAGTGGTTGCAGCACCAGGCCACATGCACTGAGAGTGGCAGGTTCAAACCCGGCCTGGGCCAGCTAAACAACTGCAACAACAACAAAAAAATAGCTGGGCATTGTGGCAAGGACCTGTAGTCGCAGCTACTTGGGAGGCTGATGCAAGAGAATCGCTTAAGCCTAAGAGTTTGAGGTTGCTGTGATGCCATGGCACTCTACCAAGGGCTACATAATAAAACTCTCTCAAAAAAAAAAAGAAAAACTATCAAGCTTGTGTGGTAGCTCACGCCCGGCTAGCACTCTGGGAGGCCAAAGCCTGAGCTCCCAGGTTTGAGACCAGCCTGAGCAAGACGAGACCTTGTCTCTAAAAATAGCTGGGCAGTGTGGTGGGCCTGTAGTCCCAGCTACTCAGGAGACTGAGACAAGAGAATCGCTTAAACTCTAGAGTTTGAGGTTGCTGTGAACTATGATGCCACGGCACTCTGCCAAGTGTGACAAAGTGAGACTCTGTCTCAAAAAAAAAAAAAAAATAGTAATATTTTGGACAAAAAGAAATTTTGATAATATATTGATGCAGGGAAACTGGATCCTTGTGTTGTTTTGTTTTGTTTAGAAATAGGAAAAAGCCCTCTGTTAGGTTCCTTCTAGTATAAGGAGCATGGTTGGGATGGGGAGTTGGTGATTTTTATGTCCAGAATACCCTTTAATGGTCAGATTTTTAATAGGCAGGCTTCTAGGAACAGAAATTAATTTGTAGATTTTGAATAGTTGAGATAATTCTTCCTGTCACAGTTTACATTTCATAATTTTGAGATAGGGTTTAAATGTTTAGTCCTACATAAAGGAGAGCTAAGAAATTGCTAACTAGAGAGTTTAAATGCAGAGACAGGAGGACCGTACCTGTCAGACAGATGGAAATTCTTTGTATTGGAAACAGAGAAATGAGACGTGAAATGCTGTGGTTCTCTGCCTCGCGGTATTTACTTATAACTTGATAATTATCTCTATTTGTTGCCTTAGAAATTCTTAGAGATTTGAATTTTCTGAAATGTCAGTGGCTAGACTACAAAACAGTGTTTCATTTCATAAAAGGAAGACTCCCTCATAGGTCCATGCCTGGTTCTTTGTGGTAATGAAGGAGTTACCCTTCTGCATTGTGCCGCTGAGGTATAATTTATCCCAACTCCCTTGTTGCATGATAGGATAGGGAAATGTGGTAATTATTCTTACAAACCAATAATGAACGGCAGATTGAAATTTTGGGTTCCTGGATATAGCATTCAGTAGCAGTTGTGCGTACAGGGTTTCCATAAAGTTTGTGCACAATTTACTGTGTTAAACTATTTTAAATTGTACATGAACTTTATGTCCACCCTGTATTAATGTAGCATACAAATAAGCCAAAGAAAGATGAGGACAGTTGTAGATTAGAGCCTTGAGTCGAGATCATGCTGTCTTTACAGTTTTCAGAGGTTTAGAATTAAAGGTAGTTATATACCCAAGATTGTACTAGAGATAGGGCAACGGTACTCTCTTTCTTTAGGGCTTTGCCATTGCAGTTTTTCATCAGACTGGCTAGATTTTTTGAAGTACACCCAGATATGACCAGCCATCCTCACCAGCAGTACCAGGGAACTCAGCATCCACTCTCCCAATAACCTCACTGTAGCTTTCCATGGTTTCTCCCTGTGTACACATTCAAAGCACCCTCTCTGTCTCAGGATATAGGAGCCCGATGGTGTTGGATTCTAGTTCATGCTGTTCCATCTGATCAGGGGTGATTATTTAGAATATCCTTTTCCAACCTGAGTTCTGTGAAAGAATTAAGTGCTGCAAAAAATACTTTACATGACTGTTTACTTAGTTTTTCCAAGAATGATTGGTATAAAGCTCATGCCATTCTAGATCATAAAGAAGTTAATTTATTACATACCTAAACTAAAGCTTTAGGGCATTAGGGGTTAATGGGGTTGAAAAGAATATTTAGAGGTTTGGCACCCGTAGCACAGTGGTTATGGTGCCAGCCACATAACCCAGCCCGGGCCAGCTAAACAACAACTGCAATAAAAAATAGCCGGGTGTTGTGGCGGGCACCTGTAGTCCCAGCTACTTGGGAGGCTGAGGCAAGAGAATCACTTAAGCCCAAGAATTGAGGCTACTTTGAGCTGTGATGCCACAGCACTCTACCGAGGGTGACATACTGAGACTCTGTCTCAAAAAAAAAGAAAAGAGTATTTAGACTGCTCAACTCTGAGAGTACTGTTTGTACCATCTGATGCTAGCACAGCTGGTTCCCTGGGGTTTAGCTAAAGCAGTCTGGGGTAATCAAATATTTCATACTCATGGCAAGAAATATTCTTCTTCACTTTTTGTGGACAAAGAACATTTTCGCATCAAAATTAAGGGCCCTCTATCAGAGAAGAGAGGGAGAAGGTATGACCCCACAGGGTTTATACTTGCTCTTGAATGTGTGAAGTACATGCATTACTGTATAATAATAGTGCAATTGCTTTGCTTAATATATGTGAAAGTGAAAATTTTGTGCTAACTTAACTACTTGCTGTACTAATGTTAATGCTCTGTTTACCATTCCTAAGTGTTTTTCTCTACCTATAACTCTCTTGACTTCTAAAATCCCCTTAACCAGAGTGGAAGGAAATGCTTTGTATTTAACTGAGAAGCAGCAGCTTTTGGGTTAGACTTTTTTACTTAACTTTTTTTTCCCCTAGAATATACCATACTCTTTCAGCAGGGATCTGTTTTGTTTGGGTTCATCAAAAAGATTGAACATAGAAAAAGTAATTAGCTTTCAGAACTGTTAGAACTAGATAGAGCTAGTATTTCCAAGAGGGAAGAGTCAGTTCTGAGTAAAAATGAATACCCTCAAATTTAGAGGACTAGTGAAAATTATTATTTTTTTTTTTTTGGACTGTCTCTTTTTGAGCTAGATAAGCAGTAAAAGAATATAGAAAGAAAATCATGTCTATTGATACTTCTTACGTGAAGTTGAGTCCCACGGAACTTAATTTGATGATTTTTTTTTGAGACATTTTCTCCCTCTACATTGTCTTTCTCTGTTGCAGAGGGAGACAAATGCAGTGATGTCTTCACAGCTCACTACAACCTCAAACTCTTAGGCTTAAGCAGTCCTCCTGTCTGTCTCCCAAGTAGCTAGGACTATAGTCTTACGCTACCCTGCCCAGCTAATTTTTTCTAATTTTAGTCTCATCTTGCTCAGGTTAATCTTGAACTCTTGACCTTAAGTGATCTTCCTACCTCAGCCTCTCAGAGTGCTAGAATTGCAGGTGTGAGCTGCCATGCCTGGCTATGATGAATCTTTTGTGTTAGCCTGATAAAAACTATGTAAAAAGGAATATGTTTACAACCTGGATAAAAAGGATAGTTTACTTTCTTAGCTTGAGCTTCCAAGTAAACTGACAGTTAAATTATTTTAATGTGCTTGTACCTTTGCATGTCAAGCCTATGTAATTGGGACTCAATCTTTGAAATAGCTACTAAAAAAATATTAATATGCTGCCAAATCCTGTCCTCATCCCTCTCTTTACTGCTTCCCTTGGTCCCTATTGGGAGGCATGCATCAAACTGGTCCATTCTGAGAGTGTTCTCTCTTCCCTCTGGATTTGGGTAGCTTCTGTAGAAATTTTCCATCTGTCGTTCAATCCTAGTGAGTGGCTTGTTGAGGGCTTAAAAATTTCTTCTCTCAGTATCTTTTCACTGCCTGTTACTATTCATCTGTCTGTTTTTGCCCTTCCCCTTCCTGGATCATTACACATAGTGCAACAAAGGCTTCTATTCTGTCTTACAGTTTTCCTTGTAATGTGATAGTTGAAGGTTATTGGAAGTGAAGTTCCTAATATCTGTCTATCTTTGTTATATACCAGACTCATTAGAAAAAGTTGACAGATCCTATTAAAAGGACAAGTGAAATAAGCGAAAGGCAGCATCCTAGCAATAATGTATTTATGAAGCTTTGGGAAAGTGTATTTTTTATAAAGCATCAGATTTATTTCTGTCCACCTATTAAGTGCTCATCTTGGACAAAAGGACAAGGTAATTAGAACTGTCATGGCCTTTTAAATTCTTGCTTCTCCATGCTGATATGTAGGTGCTACTATAACAGAAGAGATATATTGTAATTTTAAAGCAATGAATATAAATGTAATCATTAAACTCAAAATTTTATATTTTCCTACAGATGGCATAATTTAGGCTTGAACTATTTAGGTTTTATTTTCCTTCTATTGTACGTAAATGTCTTTCATTTCGTTTTTTATTTTACATGTAGTAGGTAATTTCATCTTATTCTTTTCCCCCAAATACTTCTGGAGATAGAATTTTAGTCCAAATTCTGTTTTCTCATCTATAAATTAGTATGATTATACATGCTTGCTTATCCCAAAAGTTTGTTTTTCTAGAATCAAATCATATAACATATGTTAGAGTGTTTTGAAAGCAGAAAGTATTTTTTAAAATGTAAAGTAGTGGCTCGGCGCCTATGGCTCAAGTGGCTAAGGCGCCAGCCACATACACCTAAGGTGGTGGGTTGGAATCCCCAGCCCGGCCCGCCAAACAACAATGATGGCTGCAACCAAAAAATGGCCAGGCGTTGTGGCGGGCGCCTGTAGTCCCAGCTACTTGGGAGGCTGAGTCAGGAGACTCACTTGAGCCCAGGAATTGGAGGTTGCTGTGAGCATGATGCCATGGCACTCTACCCAGGGGGATAGCTTGAGGCTCCGTCTTAAAAAAAAAAAAAAAAAGTAAAGTAGTATAGTATTGTTATCAAATTTTGGATCTGACTATAGCACAAATAGTCAACTTTTAAAGTTGAGCATTGTTGATCCACAGATGTGGGTCCTCTATACATAAAATTCTTGTTGGCTTGGTGCCTGTAGCTCAGTGAGTCGGGCGCCAGCCACATACATGGAAGCTGGTGGGTTCAAGCCCAGCCCAGGCCTGCTAAACAACAATGACAACTGCAACAAAAAAATAGCCGGGCATTGTGTCAGGCTTCTGTAATCCCAGCTACTTGGGAGGTTGAGGCAAGAGAATTGATTAAGCCCAAGAGTTAGAGGTTGCTGTGAGCTGTGATGCCACAGCACCCTACCGAGGGTGACAGAGAGAAACCCTGTCTCAAAAAAACCAAACTTATTATCCTGGCGCCTTGTTATTTTTAAATTATGGGCTAATTATGCCAAGTGAGACCACCCTCCAAAGGTTTTGATGGCGAAATACATGTATGCAGATCTATCAACAGCCTTTTAAGCAAGAACTTAAAAGGACATGACAGTTTTAATTACCTTGTTCCCTATGCAAGAGTCAAGCACAAAGTATAAGTACAGTTTTTACCTGGTTCATGGTTTTACAGCATCTTTGACAAAATAGCAATTTGTATTTAATAGGTCTAATTTCCATAACCTATTTGCACCTTCCCCATGAGTTGCCTAAAAGTTTCTAATTTGAGAAACACTGAGCTGTGGGCTCCCCACATGGCTTTTCTTTCACATTT